CCGACCGTTGGACGGGCTATTCCTGGCGGCCATTAATGGTAAGCTTGCAATCGATTGCTCCCTCATATGATAATTGATGTAATGGTGTGGTTGTGGTCACATCAGGTCACGTGACATCTCTCGCGGTCGACGTCCACAACAGACATACTGTGGCCGCCGTGGGAACCGAAGAGGGATTGCTGTCTAAAGTGGTGTTAGACGAGCGCCAGGAGTCCGACAAACAGATACTCGAGTATAACATGGGGTCCGATAGCGATGACGTGACCGACCGATCCATTCGCCCGAACCCAGCCTTCGATAACAAGCGCCGGGATCTGTACGTACTGTCCGGTCGGCGACTGATTCGCGTGCCGTTTGGCTCGTGTCGACCGCACCGGACGTGCGACTCGTGCCTCACATCCAACGACCCGTTGGCCTGTGGCTGGTGTGGCACATACTGTGCCCATAGAGATGAGTGCGACCACCCGTTGCTCTTCAACCAGACAGTGTGTCCGCCAGTCATATATGACTTCGAGCCCAAGTCGGGTCCCTTAAGAGGCGGGACTGTTATCACTATAACTGGCAATAATTTAGGGCAATATAGAAATTCGTATGAAAACAGTAATATAACGGTGACTGTGGCCGAAACCAACTGCCCGGTCGTCGAGTGGACAGCCAGTCGCGTCACATGTCAGACACAGTCTGTCCTCAAAGCAGTCTCAGGTATTTTCAACGATGTGTTTGTGTAGGAAATGTGTGATTAGTTTATTGTATTCATGGGTTTTGTAGGCAAAGTACGGGTCAAAGTTCACGACCGGTTCACCCAAAAAATTTACGACATTGAGGGTGAGGTGCAGTCGGATTTGGAGTTTAAGTATTTGGAGCCGGAGTTGAGAGGTGTATACCCGGCGTTCGGTCCCGAGTCGGGCGGCACTAACATCACAATCGTCGGTCAGAATCTGCACATCGGCTCCAATCGCACCGTACTTTTGGCCGGAATTCAGTGCAAAGAAGTGATTACTTATGAGACAAACAATTCATTCAATTATTAATTTGTTTTTCTATACAAACCCACAGTTTGAGAGCAACTCAACGTTCTTGAAGTGTACGTCCG